AAGATGAAAACCCCGGCCATTAGAACAGAGACACAAACCGTCCCCTTCTGGACAAATGCTAAAACTGCAACGATACGGAGAAGATCACCATGTAGTACCATCAGCCATCAGCAATCGGCAACCCAAACTAGAGACAGTTAGCGCAAACCTAGATAGAGCAGAGAAAGAGAGAGAGACAAGGAGAAGAGAGAGAGAGAGAGAAAGAGAGAGAAAAAGAAAGAGAGAGAGAGAGAGAGAGAGAGAGAGAGAGAGAGAGAGAGAGAGAGAGAGAGAGAGAGAAAGAAAAAGAAGAGGAGGAAGGAACGCAATTTGAAAAATCCCGGACGCGACATTGAAAATATTACAAAAAAGCGCTGCGGCACATGAATCGAGAAATGGTCCATTCGTTCTTTTACTATAAAAAAAAAAAAACGAAACACACAAACGGAGTCTTACGCCATCACATCTTCTAGTTGGGAATGCTGCAAACATTGTGTGCACCACAGAGCGAATACATTGGATGCTTGCACTGTGGGTATGCTTGTACATCCTAAAAATCCTCCGTTGACATACTGCAGTTCCCCTGCCTTTTCCCTTCACAAACTGCAGCTCCCCTGCCTTTTCCTTTCACATACTGCAGTTCCCCTGCCTTTTAGTGGACAGTCGGTTTGTTCTGTTGCCTTTTCCGGCACCGAAGTTCTGCCTATATATGGCCAACCAAACGTGACCCATGCATCCAGAGCACTGTGTGTTATGCAGAAGAGCGTTTTGACTCCCATAACGGACAAACACAGCAGCAGGAAGGGAACAACATCAGCGGAACAAGAGGGTGGCGGCCATGGACGGAGGAGGAGGGGAAGAAGAAGAAGCGGACAAGAGAAGAGAGAAGGCAAACAGAACAAGAGGAAGAAAAAAAAAAAAAAAAAAGAGGAGATGGAAAAGGCAGCACGATGAAGAAACAAGAAGGACAAGGAGCAGCAAAATGAAGACGCAAGACGAGAACGGCAGCAGCAAGATGAAAAAGGAGAACAAAAGAAGGGAAAACGAAAATACGGAGGAGGTGGCACCTTAGCGGACGCGACGGCACTTGCCCTGATGTTACCTTCTTCTCCCCCCCGAATACAACCCACGATCATTATCGCTGTATTTGCAGCATCTTTTCAGTCTAAAATTCTAAATACAGCTATAATGACCGTGCGTCGTGTTCCAAGGAAGGAGGTATGATGATCACTGATACACAAACCACCAGGCATTGGCAACGACTGGAGTAGACACATTCCCCCTCCTTGATTTTTCTCTTTTTGAATTCGTCATGTACACTCATATTATTTTTTTAACATAAAACATGCAAGCGCGCCATTCTTCGACCGTGCTTCATCAAATCAACCTGGCCGCTGTTGTTCCATCCTAAATGCCCTCTTCTTCCCTTCTCTAGTCATTCACTGGTGCTGCCTGCTTCTCTCTGCTGCTCTGAATGCTGCTTTTGCTACTGGCAGTGTATTCAAATTGCCATGCAAGCAAACGATGAAGCTGAGGAGGGACTCGCAAAGCACCGTATAGGCAATCTGTGGCAGAGACTCAACCAACCAAGGACAGCCATTGATTATCAGCAGCAGTATCTGGCCATCTGCCGATCAAACAACAACAAGGTCGGTAATCTATTTCACTATAATTCCCATATTTACGATCTCTTTGAATGGCTCCCACATGTGTGTAAACATTCCACACACACACACAGAGAGAGAGAGAGAGAGAGAGAGAGAGAGAGAGAGAGAGAGAGAGAGAGAGAGAGAGAGAGAGAGAGAGAGGGAGGGAGAGGGAGGGAGGGGGCAGACGGTCGTCACATGTCAGGACTAGTAAATAAATGGCGTTTTAATGGTCCAGGCCAGACGTGACAGATGAATTCGCTGGAAGCTCACAAGACAAAAGATGCACATTTGTTACTCGTGTTGCACAGTCACAATCCAAATTTTTGTTGTCACATGTTCCTTTCTCCACCTCCCTCCCCCTCCCCTCCCTCACACATCCCTCTAAATACAGTCACAATCCAGATTCTCGTTGTCACATGTTCCTTTATCCACCTCCCTCCCACTCCCGTCCCTCACAAATCCCTCTAAATACATGAAACCAAGCCTGAGAATGCCTAATAAACAAAAGGTCCTGAAACTGGCATTAACTCGACATGGGGCAAACTGCCGAATCTATAATGCTCGATGGAGCCATGATCCTGAACAACACAGACACAACAAGTATTTGCAATGCCATGATGGCATGATGAGATGGTATGATGAGACTGCCACTAACCAGCATGCGGGTACCTCCCAAGTACAGATAATGAACAAATCCAGCAGTTCTGTCCATGTTCATTAGAAAGGGGACAAGGATGTTCTTGTCCTTCATGTTTCCCTTAACCCAACCAACCCCTCCTCCTCATCCCTTCCCCCTTCCCCCTCCCCTCCTCTTCTTCCCTCCCCAACAAAAACAAAGGAACCATCACTAGGGAAGGACCACACACATCCACACATCAGACTCCTCTGTTTACACACACAATCACAACGCCATGGTCTTCACGCAGATACAGTGGATGCATGACAACTACGACTACATTCGATGCATGGTGTCACACACCCATGTCTCGCACGAAGTCACGATGCTAACTAAGGGAGTCGCCGCACAGCACACAAAACGAAAAACAAAACGAATGCATCTTCCCACGACTGCATACAAGCTATCTTTTGGGTCTGCGACTGCATGAGCCTTTTCTTTCTGCCCACGGGCCCTCTTACTTGCCAAAGGCACTGCGGACCGCCCCTCGTGCACTGAGGCAGGTTAGGACAGGCGCGCACCGCTTCTTTTTTTTTTTTTTTTTTTTTTTTGATTGATGACAGAAGAGATTACACCAAATTGAAAAACAGGCACCGGGTAAGAAAAACAGGAGTAGGATCCCAAAAAGGGAAAAAACAAGAATTGAGCAAAGCACAGGGGAAGGCAGTTATACACAGATATCACGACCCATCTCGATCGTCAAGCACTGTGGTGATATCAAATTGATGACAAAAGGCAAAACGCTTAGTTTGAAAGCTACATTCTTCGCTCAATTGCACCTCACACTACCTACCTACCAACCACTACACTCCTTAATTATAGTCACAGGGAACCCCGCAGCAGCCAGAACCTTGTTCAAGAGAGAGCATGCGGGGGCTGCTCCTACCCCCCCCCCCAAAAAAAAAAAAGAAAAAAAAAGAAAAGACTTGCCAAGCACAGCTGCAGGAGGCAGACGTTACGATACAGATATCACAACCTCGGATATCACGAGCAGATATCACGATGCAGATTTCACGACCTCAGATTTCACTAGCAGATCTCAGGACGCAGATATCACGACCTCAGATATCACAAGCGGATATCACGAGCAGATATCACGATGCAGATATCACCACCTCAGATATCAGCACCACAGACATCACGAGCAGATATCACGATGCAGATAACACGACCTCAGATATCACCACCTCAGATATCACGACGAGATATCACGATGCAGATATCACGAGCAGATAACACCACCTCAGATATCACGAGCAGATATCACGACGGAGATATCACCACCTCAGATATCACAAGCAGATATCACGACGGAGATATCACCACCTCAGATATCACAAGCAGATATCACGACCTCAGATCAGATATCACGACCTCAGATATCACAACCTCAGCCATCACGACCTCTGATATCACGACCTCAGATATCACGAGCAGATATCACGACCCCAGATATCACGAGCAGATATCACGACCTCAGATATCACGAGCAGATATCACGACTTCGGAACTTCGACTTACGCCAGGGCTGCAGAAGATGCCAAGCGCCTACACAAGGCCTACACCCCCAAAAGCTTAAGGAACAAAAAATTACAGCCCGACATAGAGCTCCCGGTCTTTGCTGCCATAGCATTCATCAAAACTTGACATACTATATACGTTGATGCCAGTCTCAGAAGAAACCAGTACTACAAAAGTGCCTACTATATACGTTGATGCCAGTCTCAGAAGAAACCAGTACTACAAAAGTGCCTATACATACCAAGGTTTCTTCACAGACTCTACACTTTGATAGGAACTGGAAGTTTTGAAACGAGTGGTGGTCAACGGAGACCCAACCAAAATTTCAGCAGGTTTTGAATGCTACTTACATACTATATACGTTGATGCCACAGTCTCAGAAGAAACCAGTACTACAAAAGTGCCTATGCATACCAAGTTTTCTTCACAGACTCTACACTTTGATAGGAACTGGAAGTTTTGAAACGAGTGGTGGTCAACGGAGACCCAACCAAAATTTCAGCGGTTTTTGAATGCTTCTTGTATGAAAACCCAAAGGCCTTTTGAACCAAACTCTGCATCAGTTCACCATATTAACAAACCACCCAAAACAAAAAGAGAAAAAAAAGAGGGTGCAACGGTGGGTCAAAAGTGCACTTGAATGAAAATTTGCATTCAGAGAATTCAGGATTTTCAGAAGTTTCAGCGTTTTTTTGGAAATGGTCACCACAGACAATTCCAATGGGGGGGAAAAAAAACACTTCAGAACATTAAATGGTCACCAGACACAATCCCAACAGTTGGGAAAAAAAAAAACCAAAAAAAACAAACAAACAAACAAACAAACAAACACGGAGTAAATATTTGGCCAAAAAAACTGATTCAGCAATGATAAGGTGAAAGCAGTTTACCCCCTCAACCACTAGTGTTTAGGACGTTTTCAGAGTTTAATACGTCAGCTTTCAAAACAAAAACTGACTTAGAAATTAGAATTAATCGTCGGAGTACAAGGATTCGAACCTTTGCACGTCGGTATAAAAAAACGATGCCTTCTTCGACTTGGCTATGTGTAGCATGGGACCTGCAAGGCGTGCTCAGATTGTTCATGTGAACAGCGTAGAAGCCTGCGAATCGAAGGGCAACCTCGGGATGGCTGCAATCCTTCGTCCTATTGTTCTTTCCCTTTTTTTTAGCACACTTTCCCTTTTTTTCAGCACCAAAAAGCAACGAGGCGGCACCTTCGGCGGGGAAGGGGTAATGGAAAGCCCCAAAGTAGTGATCTTTCCTGCCATCTTCACCCAAATAGAAAGCAGTCATTTTAGCTGTAACTAGACTGCAAGTTGCTCCAAAAAAAATTCAGCTGTAATGGCTATATGGGCGTTCTATTCGGGGCGGGAAGACGGTACGGAACAGATCTGTCACGCAATGCCTCTCCGGGGTTTGCCGCTGCCGTCCGCATCTGCAGCATCCCGACCTCTGTGCTCATAACGCCTGTGTGTTTTGTCTTCTTGCCTGTGATGATAGGACAGCAAGGCAAGCGTAAGCGTAACGGTGACACAGGGCATCGGCACACCACTCTCGAAATGTGCAAAATGAGAATGAACTTCCCGCTAGAACATGGCCAGATGCACCCGCCACTTTTTGCCTTTCTCACATTTCGAGAGTGATGTGGCGAGGCCCCCACAGTAGCATGGATTCCAGTGCGACAACAGTCCATCCGACGGCAGAGAAAGCAGGCGCAATACTGGCTGGCAATGAAAAATAATAGAAGAGAGAAAGAGGCTAGCGCTTATCAGAGAGAAAATCGGGGTCCAACAGTCCATCCGACGGCAGAGAAAGCAGGTGCAATACTGGCAATGCAAAATAAGAGAAGAGAGAAAGAGGCTGGCGCTTATCAGAGAGAAAATCGGGGTCAACCACAGTGACCACTTCTCCCTGTCACAGAAAGATTGCGTTACGAAGGTTCGACAGTGGAAAACGTTCTTCATGCATTTGGGTAACTTTCGTGACCAGGTGCGTTCGGACGAGTCAGACATTTTGACTGCTTCAGGTCCAGAACGGGTTCCAGAACGGTCGGGCAACAAAAAACCCCATAGAACGGGAAAGTAGTACGTAATTGTAGCGAGGCCTCTACGAAAAAGAGTAATTGACAAAAAAAAAAAAAAAAAGTAATTGTGAAGTCTGTTCAGTAGCGAGGCCTTACGAGAAAGAGTAATTGACAAAGGAAAAAAAAAAAGAAAGAGAGTAATTGTGAAGTCTGTTCAGTCGATATATATACCCCTACAAAGTAAAACGCCCGCGCCGAGTCTGGATTTGTGGAGGACAATCATTTTCGGTCCTTTCGGGACTCAACTTCATATAGCCTAGATAATCGATCCTATTCTTTTCCATTTATCGACTTCAATGTCTATTTGTTCCTGTCGAAAGAAACGTAAGAACATATACCTTTCTGCACCTTTTGGCTAAAAATAGATAAAAGTGTAAGAGGCTAAAAATACACCAAGTGTAGCATCTGTTCTGATCATCAGTTCAATATCTGATCCGTGGTCCATCGGGGCCACATGACATTACTACCGTAGTAAATTAATTTTTCAGGGATATGGAGGGGTCACAGGGGTAGGCTTGCCTACTCGACCCTTCCAGCGTTGCCTTCGTATTGCACTGCCGCAAAGCGTAGCGTGGCCCATTCCCCCCCACTCCCCCGGTAAAAAAAAAAAAAAGAAAACCAGCTAAAAGCTTGTTTATTCACACCACCCAAAAAAGCCAACACGGAATTAATTTTTCAGGGCTATGGAGGGGTCACAGGGGTAGGCTTGCCTACTCGACCCTTCCATCGTCGCCTTCGTATTGCACTGCAGCGAAGTGCGTAGCGGGCCATTCCACCCCCCTCTTCGGTAAAAAAAAAAAAAAAAAAAAAAAACAGCTAAGAGCTTGTTTATTCAAACCACCCAAAAAAGCCAACACGGAGTGAAGTCCTAAGGTGTCTGGAGTGAGACAAGGTCAGCAACCAACGGGCCTACACACTCCATAAACTATTTTAATTATTTTAACTATTTTAACTACTTTAATAAAATACAAACTCAACGTTCGAATCCCGCGATATTACCACAAATGAACAGACTCGCATCATTTTCTGAATTGCCTCGGGCCGGTCAGTCAGAGACAACAAGGTCAGAGCAGTGGAGGACGGGGATATGGCGCTGAGGGCCAAATGAAATCCTCGAATACATAATCAAGTGACGTCATCAATTACTGACATTGTGCGCATAAAGACAAGTCAGATAGATCTGTAGTCCGTGACGACGAATGGGAGTCGCGCAACATCTGCTCCTCTACGGCATGACTGTCCGGTCCGTGTGCATGGTTCCTCTGCATGTTGAGTTCCCTTTTGATCGCCTGAGAAACGTGACAGCCTCTGTTATCGTTTTTTTTTCCCTTTTTGTTCGCAGAAAAACATCAGAATCGTAAACTCTCCCATTGTCACAGCCATCGTGACGGACGGATGGATTTCCAGAACCACAAATTCCATCACATCAACTTGCAACTGTCAGAGACCATCAAGCCCTCTCTCTCTCTCTCTCTCTCTCTCTCTCTCTCTCTCTCTCTCTCTCTCTCTCTCTCTCTCTCTCTCTCTCTCTAGCGCGCAAGCAAACAAGCAAGAGAGTGCGTTGCTGTACTCAATCAATCTGTTCGGAGTAATCTCTCTCTCTCTCTCTCTCTCTCTCGCGCGCGCGCGCAAGCAAGAGAGTGAGTTGCTGTACTCAACCAAATTGTTGGGAGTAATACGTACAGCCAGAAAACTGGCGCGCAAGCAAGCAATCAAGCAAGCAAGAGAAAAACAAAAATCTACAAGAAGCACGGAATGATCTTCCCCCGCCTCCCGGCCCTTCTTCGCCCACGAAGGACGAGGAAACGTAAAGAGACGTCAAACACGCACCAGTCGCCTACCGTCTTCACCCGAGTAGAACGCCCGGTAATTATTCCCGTATGTGGACTGAAAGTTACACAAATACGGCGATAATGACCGGGCGTTCTATTCCGGTGAAGACGATAGTAACATATTGTGGAAGATGAGAAAGAAAAAGATCAACTCGAACTATGAAGAAAGCCGGGCGATGGAGGGAGAGGACGGAGGGATCTTTCATCTGAATAATCTCTCTCTCTCTCTCTCTCTCCGTGTGTGTGTGTCTATGAGCGTGGGCCGGGCGCGCGGTTCCATCCTCAAGATACTGACGAGCACTGGGAAGAACAGAAAGAGAATCACGCAAAGAAAGAGAAAAGGGAGGGAAGGGGATAAGGGAAGGGAAAGGAAGTCGGTTCAATCCTCTAGATGAATGACAAAATAATTTATGAATTACCTGGGCCAGTCAGTTCAACGATGACATCTCAAGGCTGTCGCCCTTTGTAAAGAAAAGAAAACAAAGAGAAAAATATCGACCTGTCCCATCTTGCAAATCATCTTGCACATCATCTTGCACACCGTCTGGAAATGAGACTCTAGGTGCACGCCAACCAGCCCACGTGGGTGAACGGTAGACACGTAACAAAACAGAGCAGAAGTTGAGAATGACACCGATGGATGGATGGATGGATGGATGGATGGATGGATGGAATCAGAGGAAGAAAATCAAGAGCACGGGCTAAATCCATTGATATGGAAACAAGGTGTCGCCGAAATGCTTTTTTTTTTGGACCATTTCTCGATTTATGCGTGTCATCCTTGAAAGCGCAGGGGCCATGCTAAACTTCATTCTCTGTATCGTTCCAATTTTAACGGATGTCCCGAAGGACTCCTGACACTTTTACTACCATATCGTACACTTCGATAAAGAGCGAGTGTAGGACAGCCCGCCAGGGCATAATTGTTGTTTGCCGCTCGCGTTCATACATAGATATATATAGTCACAAAGTTATCAGAGCGCAAAAGCGAAAAGAAAACAGAAAGAAAACAAAGAAAAATAAATTCACTTTTGTATCTTCTTCCTTACAACTCCCCCTGTTCAGAACCTCTTGCGTCTATAGTGTCACAAGATATCAGAGCGCAAAAGCGAAGAAAATCAAGAAAAAATGAATTCATTTTTTTATCTTCTTTACAACTACA